CACAACGGTATCCTGCACCCCCCCCCAGTCACCAAGCTGCACTGACCAGTGACCTCTGCTCGGGTGACCCTTAACCGGCATCCTCTCTAGCGGTGGATTAACATCCGCCCTGTGCGTGCTTCCATTATTACGTATCGTACACAATGTGTTGCTGATGATGCTTACGCAGCACGGTCTCGTTGGCTGTAAAACTGGGCCCTCTTTGCCGCTTGCCCGTGGTGGCCCAGCCACGTGGTCACTTACCCAAATTAAAATCGCAATGCTATTATAGTCCACACGGTTAATTACCTGAACGGAATAGAGCGACAAACCGCTGATTCATCTCCGGCAATCCTAATCGGATCGACCTGCGGTATAAAATCCACCAAATCCAGGCGCAGCACTGGAGACAGAGCGTGTGTCTGGCAGCAGCTGACCTCGAGTGGCCGCACACACTCAAGGGGGGTAGCAGTCACCCGACAATCATAACACTGCAACATTTCAAGGGGTGAAAAATTATATAGATTTGAACAACAACAACAACAATAAAAAGCCCCCTCTTAAAATGGGAAATAACAGGAGCTCGGCAATTTCGAAGGAGCTGCTCGATGACCTGAAGCTCAACCACTGCCTACTCGGAGCAGGAGCTCGCCGACTGGTACAGCACCTTCCTCAAAGAGTCTCCGGACAGCCGGATCTCCAGGGAGCGCTTCGAGCAGATCTACTCCAAGTTCTTCCCAAACGCAGACGCCACCAAGTACGCCCAGCACGTCTTTCGCTCCTTCGACGCCAACGGGGACGGGACGCTCGACTTTCGCGAGTACGTGGTGGCCCTGCATCTCACCGCCTCGGGCGAGATCGACCTCAAGCTCGAGTGGGCATTCTCTCTGTACGACATCGATGGAAACGGAACCATCAACAAAGCCGAGGTGCTGGAGATAGTCACGGTAAGTTCCTTATTTCGCCTAGGGCACTTATAAAATGTTTTTAAAATAACGAAGATTTTTTAAAATTTCGATTTAAAGCTTTCGTGACTGCAGGGATTCATCTTCTTGGTTCTTTTGGTAAAGTCACGTAGAATGGAAATAATAAAATAATAAAAATAAAACATAATAAAATAATTCTCACGACGTTTCGGCCACAACGCAAGCAGCCATCCTCAGGTGGAGAACAGGTCTGTCGAGAAGACAGACCTGTCGAGAAGACAGACCTCTTCTCCACCTGAGGACGGCTGCTTGCGTTGTGGCCGAAACGTCGTGAGAATTATTTTATTGTGTTTTATTTTTATTATTTATTATTTCCATTCTACGTGACTTTACCGACCCAAGGAAAACGAAGATTTTTTTATGCTCAATAAAATTCAAGGATAAGCTTATGCAACCAAATATGTTTTGGTTGTTTTACAATTGAGGGTGCCTGTATTCCTGACGTGACTCGGGATGGAGTTCTGAGTCCCTGAGGCAGGGAGCACAACAACCTAATGGCCCTTGCCCATCCTGATTTTTAACGACTTTTCAGAGCCGCCGACACTTCAGCATTCGCCCATCTGAAAGTGCGACTGAGAAGCGTAATGCGCCAAGAGTTTCCTGTAAATATAAAAGCCACAACATCGCAAAGAATTTCGATTTAAAGCTTTCGTGACTGCAGGGATTCATATTCTTGGTTCTTTCGGTAAAGTCACGTAGAAGGGAAATAATAAAATAATACAAATAAAACAATAAAATTCTCACGACGTTTTCGATTGCAACACAAGCAATCATCATCAGGTGTGAAAACCACAGCAAGAAAAAAAAACCCGCCACTTTTTTCAAATTTTATTGCTGTGGTTTTCACACCTGATGATGATTGCTTGTGTTGCAATCGAAACGTCGTGAGAATTTAATTGTTTTATTTGTATTATTTATTATTTCCCTTCGACGTGACTTTAGCGAAAGAACCAAGAATATAATATCGCAAAGGATAGTTGAACAAAAAAATCCTAAATTCTGTTCCCAGTGAATATTGTAACGATTAATTTGGCCACTGGGCCTCCAACCTCCTTAGCTTCCAATATTTGACACGATTTGGTACATGTTGGGTGATGCAATCGTGGGGATGTTTAACGTATGTGTAACATATAGAGGCACATGTAGGCATAGTCAAACAACCCCCTGGAGTTGTTTATCCAGCAGTAGATTGACAAATCGCAGCACATTTCAATTATTTATTATGATATGGAACATACAGATACGTAACAGAGTGTAGCCGTCATATATATGTGTATTTAAAAAAATTATACCAGTGATTTTAAGACAAAACTAGAACACAGCAAATACTTTTTTCTAATCCATAATACAGGGTTATTTTTGGGTTAGATCGCAAAATATAAATGTGTCGTTAAACCCGCCACCACCCGACACAGCCAATTAGGAAGGTTTTCGCGTAAACAGAACGTGCCAATTCGTTACTAGTACAGCACACCGGTGTGTGGAGGGAAAATCCACAACATTTACAATCCGAGTACGACGTTTCGCCAGTAATTACAACTAGCATCATCAGGCAGACAGACAGATTTGTGGAGTATTTGTGGAGTATTTTTTTATACTGCTCACAATAATAGCACGGTTGGATACGTACGGTGCAAAAGCAGTTCAACATTCACAAACACAAAAAAGTTCAACATATTTTCGATTTAAAGCTTTCGTGACTGCAGGGAATCATCTTCTTGGTTCTTTCGGTAAAGTCACGGAGAAGGGAAGTAATAAAATAAGAAAGAAATTTATTTATTATTTTATTTTAGAATGTTTTATTATTTTATTATTTCCCTTCTACGTGACTTTACCGAAAGAACCAAGAAGCAGTTCAACATACATGAATACTAAAATACACAATGATACAATGTGCACCAAAATTCGCACATATTTTTCATCAATCTTACTGTGGCTGCTTTGGTCCAGCCACCTACTGTGGTAGAGTAAAGTATTTCTACTTTAAAATGTGTGTGTGTGTGTTTTCAGGCGATATTTAAGATGATTCCACTGCAAGAGCAAAAGACCTTGCCGGAAGACGAAAACTCTCCTGAAAAACGAACAGAGAAGCTGTGGAAGTTTTTTGGCAAAAAGGAAAACGGTGAGCAACACTTAACGATGCTCAGCGCTCAACTAAAATATTAAATGTTCTTTAAATCGCCATTACTATTCCCGTAAGAGTGATGTTTCACCCGAAAATTACTTCAGGTAACGGACATTTTTTCCCCAATTAGATTCCATACAATCACACCGCCGTAGATGACCGCTATAGATGTTATACAGTCACACTTTTCTAGATTACGTAGTCGCATTACTATACATTTTATATATGCACATCAGATTCACATCGCTGTAGATTCTATAGATTAACATCACTGTAGATTCTGATATTTCTAAATCCATACACCTTGTCATTTAATACATATAGCTGGACATAAGTGAGTGCTGACTGAATGTAAATTGTGTTCTAGAAGGGATGGAACGCTGAAACTCGACGAAATAGTCACATCTGTGCTTATCGTTAAAACCAATATTTTGTTTGTTAGAGAACATAAGTTTGGTTTATCTCGATTTTCTCTTAAAACCTACACCTACAAAAGTTTGGTAGCTGGGGATTGTAATTGGGCTGAATCTAAATAGTACAATATTGTATTCGATTTTACAAACTAAAATTGAGATTGAGGCCCTCGAATTTGGAGGGCAGTATTTGATTTATTCCTGCAATTTGGTTTTTGAGACTCTGGGGTGAATGCAAGCACACCAGCTCTTCCAATGCCATTCTCATTTCCAGAAACTGTAGGAAGACTGTGACAATAAAGGTACTAGAAAGTGTGCAAAGCCTGCTCCCAGTTACTAACAAGTCACATTTCAGGCGTTTTGGGCCCTGCATTGTCATGAGCAGCAAGTGAGTATCAAGAGGCTGATCATCGTGAAATTGTATCCATAAATTCTAGATTTGAAGCTTTCGTGACTGCAAGGATTCATATTCTTAAAATTTATTAATTTTAATGTTTACCTAAGTGACTTTACCGAAAAAACCTAAGAATATGTATCCATAAAGTAGATTTTTTAAAAGTAAAGTGGCATTATGGTTTTTTTTTATGGAAACTATACATTTTGAGGTATGCTCGCCAGCCAGAGAGGCTAGCATTGAACGAGAAGACCGGATACAATCATTATAACACAAACGCGTGTCAAGACAACAAGACAGGGCACACACACGTTTTGCATGCTATGATGTTGACATGACCATTCATGGCATGCAATCTGCACACAGCCTTAAAATAGCCACCAGCTCAAAAGGGCTGAAGCTTTGCCTATTATTATTATTTTATATATATTTAGAATCATAAGGCAACTCAACAGTGCTAGGTTTTGTCCCCACTGTGTGGAAGCAGGATTTGGATAAAACGTACCCCACGCACAAATGGTGGAAGTATGAAATAATGGTGGATGTACTGCACTGGTGAAATTCAAACAAGGATGAAACCCGTGTCGAATTGCCTTCGTCATTTCTGCTGCCGATGTAATACAACTACAAAAAACACAGATACCACAATATCACACCTTTTTGAGACTGGAGCTGTCACAAGCTGTGTGCAGATATGTGGAACAAATGTGTTGTCATTCTGTCAGGCAAAGTATGCCAATATCCTTGCCATGCTCAGGCTGTTTGAGAGAAGGTTTCACACACATATTTTCAAGAAAACCCTTAAGGGCTAACATATGGCAAAACATTTTTTTTTCCACCAGAGCCATAAAAAAGCCAAATTCTCGCAAAAAAGAAAATGTGAAATCCCCAACCCTGGCAATTCAACTTGTAATAAAGCTTTAAAATAATAATGCAGTGGCGCTGGTTGTTGTTACTGCTCGTGCATATTTCAGCAGGAGTGCGTTGTGTGTGTTGGTCCTGAGTTGACTCTGCACCACAGTTAACATCACGTGGGTGGTGGGGGCTCCTCAAGGAGATCGTCTCGAAACGCCTTTTACACACACACACACACAAATCTCGTTTGCAGATAAAATCACCGAGGGAGAATTTGTGGCAGGGGTTAAAAACAACATCGAGATACTGCGGCTCATCCAATATGAAAAGCTGCACAGCCACAAGTAGAGTTCGCGGTGGAGGAGCGGCGAGGCGGAGGGTAACGTTACCACGGTCTTTGTTTCACCTCCACACACCTCACGGACGCGACGAACACGAGCAACGGACGCAATGGGAATTCGGACGTCTGTCTCATGCGGTTTGACTCCGATGGTGACGCACCATTGGCCCAATCATGAGTCGCGTCGGCGAGCACTGTCGCTTATATTTCATGGTAAATGGTACACTTTGGTATTTGATGACAGGGAACCCAACGTCAATGCAAATAAACCCAGCTCAGTAGCGAGTGTGATGATCATACGTATTTAGATACACACAGCTTGTTTTAACTGTAATTGAACAACATCATTAATGTGATTAAGTAATTAAAAGCAATTTACATTTGAATTCAAACATTTACGCTTAAGTGCAAAGGTAGAATTAAGACTTTAAATAAGCAATAAATCACACGAAATTTTATAATTGGTCATCTGAGCAAAACAAAAAAAAACCCTTAAATTTTCATATAAATATTGACACACTCTTCAACATCCAATTCCACATTTCCGGGATATGTTTTTGTATATTCCAACAAATTGGAACCCCCCCCCCCCCCATATCATACAGCACGATGTAGCTTAACGGAACTCTTGTCATATGGGCTGAAGTGGTATGATCTACATCTCACACTGTGTCTTCGATGACTGCTTGACTGTCACTCAGGTTACTGTTGGTGGTGGTGCTGCCCATGCCTTCACGACGCTTTGCTTCCTTGCTGTGCAAGAGCTCTGCCCTGGACGGGCGCTTCTTACCAACGTACAGCCCACTCCGATCAAACAACAATTGGCCACCTTCCATTGAGAAGTTCTTCATGGAGGTGAAGGAACTTTGGGAGCACTTCAGCTCATTTACCTTCCTTGACTTCACGTGCCAGAGATGCAACTTTTTCTTGAACTCGCTTTGGACCTGCCAAGATAGAGGTTGTTTTGGCTTTTGGGTGTCATTAACTGTTTGCTTTTATATATTCCCCATGGATCCTAGTGTTTCACCAGAGCACACTTAATTTGGATGTCACCTAAATGGTGATGGCCTACATACGCATGACATCAAATGCGATAAGCCTAAATGTGGATTTAATCATATCGGTGAGTTAAGGCATCAGTAGGAGAGGCGACTTATCCGAGTTTAGCGAAAGATACCATAAGTAGCTCACGGGGAATGTATTAGTCCTGAATTGGATGGCTCTATCTGCATAATCTCTTTATCATTTTGTCAATCATATTATTAACACATCCACGGGCAAACCAAATGCATCGAATACTCAGCAAAAATAATCCATATTGTGTAAGTGCTTACAATCCATACATTTTGAAATATTACTGATACATGGCAACATCAAGCTGTCATTAACACAATTAAAATGTAGGTTAACACAATTAAGCTGGTATTTTTGGCTATGTTTATCAGATTATCTGATCTCAAGGAGAAAATCACCTCAGGTTAATGCAAACATTACAGAGGTGGTTGGGGGGGGGACGCTGACATTTCCGTGGAAAAAACTGCAGAGTCCAATTTCTGCAGAATATTTTGTTACATCACAGCAACGGTTGAGGCTGATAAAACTCACGTTTGTCCCTTAATTACGGCCTACACAGACTTAAATGTTTAACAACAACAAATACCGTCTCTATTACAGTTAAAAGTGTAGTTTTATGATATATCTAAAAACAATGGCATTGTGCATTTGTAGAACTTTTATCTAGTGTAATTGCTGTGAAATAGTATATTATTTTTTAACTTAATAGTATGTTTGTGCAATTGTAAGCGTACGGCAAAGTGCTTTGGCTGTGCGGTACAATAAAGCATTGACATTGTCTGATCGTTCGTGATTCTCTTTGCAGTAAGACCAAGATTCTGCACACACTGCCTCCTACAGTTGCGTGCTGTGTTGAAATTATGCAGAATTAAAGATTTGTTGTACAATGAAGGTGATAATCACGGTGAATGACATTGCAGAAATTAAATTAATTTGATGTTATTTAAAATATAAAAAGTTACATCTGTATGCGAATTGCATACAAGGAATACTCAAAATTATCAAATCAAATTTGGTTCTGCACTTAATTTGGCTGAATTCCAGATCTGCCAATAAAAATAACAGTTCGACTGCCTTTGTAATGAACCGATCACAGGCAGAGTGAATGGGAAGGCGCTGCCCTCTGTTGTATGGACCAGAAGTCATTTGAAGGATATTCAGAGGTAGCTTTGTGATATTTGCTTCTGTGGGCCACTGTAATACAAAAGTTTTCACTGCTCTGCAGCAATATAAAATATATACGTCATCTCTTGACATGACTGCTGATAACATAGTCGGGATATTGTTGGGGAAATTTTACGACAAAATTATTGACGTTCATTCACGGAAACATAATTACGACAAAGTGCCGAAGACCAAATTACTCCACACGTGCTCAATCTCATCATATCTCAAAAGGTAAGCAGGTTTAGAGCCTGGGCTGAAGATGACCAAGACTCACCAGTGTTGTAAGCAGGGCCGTATTATCCAATAGGCACAGGAGGCGCTGTGCATAGCGCCTACGAAAATTAAAGGACTTCCGAAAAAAAATTGACCCGTGTTTTTGCTCGTATGTATGTATGTGTAGTGGTAAAGCGCTGACTGCTGGCGGAAAAGGGTAACTGCGGTGTACGGCAGTACTCGCGTTAGCAGACACGAGATGGGGACTTCTAGGGGAAAGGTCACAGAAGGGGCCCATCGCGAAGCCCTGGGAACCCGCTAGCAGGTTCCAGTGGCCGGGGTGGAGCGAGGCCACGCCGGGAGTGTAAGAGGGGGCCCTGAGTGGGAGCTCGGGGCTGTCGTGCTGCTCAAGATCGTCGTCGTCACCTTCTCGTCCTCGTCGTCACCATCTCCTCGTCGCCGTCTCCGTCTTCACCATCCCGGGGCGCTGCTAGTCAGACAGCCAACCAACTGTTCTAAGTAGTGCCGCCCACAGTAGACGGTCTTAATAATAATAGTGTGCACCCACGTAGGGTGTGTGTGTTATCCAGATGGTGCTTGTTCAATAAAATCAGTGCCTCCAAGTATTACTGCCTCCGAGCTGCGTCACTACACATGTATGTATGATAAAAATTTAACCAAGATATCTTCTTGAATAAATGTATTAATATAGCAAGGATCGGCAGTGTATATACGAAGAGTCATGTCAACGTTAATCGTTTTTTTTTATCAGATGAGAGAAATTCACGCCGGAGATTAACTTTTCCAGATTTTCTTTCATTCAAAAATTTGCAAGAATATCTTCAAATGGTCTTTTTCGCACCATCTTTTATTCTCAATAGAGAGCAGTGCAAGGGAAGACAAGACGGGCGTTGTTGCCCGATGTTTGATCGTAGACAGTTTTGTGTTTGTTATCAGCTTTAGCGAGTGACAGTGGTGGTAGTCGTAGTGACGTGACATAGAATTGGTCACTACGTAGCATAGCGCTGGCTGCTGGCAGGGAAGGGGATCTGCAGAGTGAAGCAGCCCTGACTAACAGCAGGCCACGTGACAGACCCGAGAGGGATCTAGGGTAAAGGTTACGGAGGGGACAAGTCGAGATCCCGCTCGTAGGTTCCAGAAGGGGGGCGTGGCCGAGCCGGAGTGAGGCCACGCTAACAGGATAAAAGGGGACTCCGAGCAGGGGATCGGGGCTGTCGTTTGGAGTGGGATCCCCTCGTTGCTGCTGTCGCCTTCGTCGCTGTCATCGTCCACTGGATAATTGGGCTGCTAGCAGTAGTTGGCTGTCTTAGTTCAGCGCCGTCAGTTTCGGACGGCTAGCGTTGTGTTGTCGGCTAGCAATAAGTGTAGAGTTGCGTTTAAGCGAGAGACGGAGCGTTGTGTAACAGCAGAGAGTGTGTAACAGTGTGCTCGGTGTTTAATTGAAGAATTTCCTCCAAGAAGTTACGTCTCCAAGTCAGTCACTACAGTAGCGACGTGGGGCAGCAGCAGTATCAACTGTCGAGTGTAATCGCTGAAGGCTCAACGAAACTCAAGTGCCTTGGGCCTACAAGAAACCTTAATCCGGGCCTGGTTGTTAAGCATCGGCTACGAGGTGGAAACGAGATGCCAATGGTGTCACCCCCCTGTCGAGTCTAACACGTAGGAGGCTTTCGCGACCAATATCATCCATAATAGAGGTTTCTTGGGTCAGATTGTATGTTTGATGGATGTTTCTCTGGGTTTGCCAGTTTCCCCATCACATGAAGCCAAACTCTCATTGAAGGAATTGGCCAAACCATTCCAATTGGAGGACCGCACTGAAAAAGGTCTCGAGGCACACCAAGCCCTTTGGGTAAATAACTGGCATCATTACTCTGAGAGCAAGCATTATATTACGTTAGTTTCCTATCACTTTTTAAAGTTGGAGAACATACACATGGTAATGACACCATTTAAACTCGGGAAAAGCACTTGGGCAGGAAAAAAATATGCCTCTTCATGGAATGATGGCCGATTGTCAACATTAAAGAGGGAGTTTACCGAGGATACGAAGCAATGGAGTCATCTCGAGTGTAGGCGCTGGGTTGGGTGTATTATTACATCCCAGGATCGTGAGAGGCGGTAGCGGCTTGGGAAAGCCTTCATCTAGCAGCGGATTAACACTGAGTGCTGCTGCTGCTGATGACTTGTAAATTAGTGTAACGACGTTTTTGGGAAATAATGTTTGACTTGTCAAGGTCGGTAGTTAACAACCCTGTATTTTAGAGTGTTGGGTTTTTTGTATGAGGCAATGTGTAAGTCGATGTGTTTGTGTGTGTGTGTGGGTCGATGTGTGTGTATCTTTTTCACCCGGGCAACGCCGGGTACTTCCCGCTGGTGAGTCAATATAACACTGAACCACAAGTGGCTTTTGTAACCTCGTTTGTTTAAAAATAGGTGTACACAGAACTCTCGACTATTGCAAGTATTTTATATTGCTTTTTGTACATTTAACAACACTGTATTTTATCACTTACCTCACCATTAGAGAAGCAATACAGGAGCGCTACAAAAAAGCCCTAAAAAAGACAAACACGTTCACATATTATTAACTGTGTTTTTTTAACCTCTTGCTCATAATGTGAAGTAGTTGGCAAGCTTTTTACGTTGGAGACAATTTATTTTTCCTGCATTTGATTTTAGGGATAGAAATGGCACAGTCCCCAAAAGGTGTCCTTATTTTAGCATGAAATGAGTATTTCACCAAGGTGAAAGTCAGTCGCATGTATCCTTGCAGAGTAAACATTACACACTCTAACATTTATTCTTACTACTATCTATTAAATATATGTCTTGTACACGTCATCAAGCTATAATCTTCTGCCCCACCTGTAATTAAACAGAGAAGTTTCAGGTCCAGCATGCCAAGCCACTTCCGCACAACAAAATCAATGTTTTGGGTGAAATTATAACCCGATGATAGGATTACAAAATAACATAAAATACATTCCAGCCATTATAAATCCACCAATGGATGAAGGCCTCTTGCACGCCATCATCGTCACGGTTTTTTTGTTGTTGCGCACTTCACCGCGCTGGTCAACGCGGGTAGGTCACGACGAGTGGAAGGGCAGAACCGATTCTGGTTTCACTGGCCACTGACGGTAGCCGTGATCGGGAGGGTGGAATGGCGCAGCGCGCTCACCGCTGTGCCACCACTCCGACCCTGAGAGGCACATGACGCTTGCGCTGGTTTTTCGCGAATGTTTTTTTTTTCTCCAGAAATAATTGGTGTCTATGTCTAGATCAGCGTCAGCACCTTGACAACACCCACCTGAATGGAGCTGAAGGAGAGCTGAATGAACAGGCGGACGTAGCGCGTTCTTCCCGTGGCATGCTCATCCGCGAGGAAGATGAACACAACCTCGTGGATGCCCAGAAGCGGAATCAGGGTGAGCGTCGACCGGGCAAGTCTGCAACACGCGACGGTTTAAAAAATAAAGGCGCAGCACTGGAAGTTGCTTTCTCTCTGCCACTGCTGCTGGAAGGGTCTCCACTAAAAGGAGCTCTACAAAGCCCCCCAACCGCCCCACTAGAGGTGTTTTGGCCTACTCTTCCACGCTGCCGAGACATCCTGGAAGAGGTGGCAGTGCTCACACTTGACCCCCCCCCCCCCCGTACGTGACCTGACTATCGACGAGCTGCGGTGAACCCTTGTATACCCCTGGGTGGACAGAAGTTGGGGGCGAGGGGGCAGCAGAGGATTTGAGAAACTTGCCCTCCCCCCCCACATTATTTCAGCAGCTGCCACGCCGGGAGCTTGAACCGGCGTGGCCCCCCTGGATCGCAAGTCCAGTGCGCCGACGGTTGCAGCAAGACATCATGTTCTTCTTCAAACCCAATTTGTTCCCGGCAGAGAGGGTCTGTTTTGGATCATGACCCCACAAGAAGGCTGGATAGCCTAGACGGGCATCTCCTAACATGTTGTAAGCCGCGACGATGCCTGCCTTGTAATCGGGGTGAAACTCCTCGTATTCACGATTGCCATTATCCACGGCACCCAGTCAATGCACAAAGTAATACTATTTTATGTGGATGTAATGAATCCTGGAAATGAGGCACCATGCTGCATTGTAATCAAGTGAAACCGTGAGCAGAAGAACATTTAAAAAAGCTCCAATTACACATTTAGCTAATCATAACATTGAAATTAATATCAAGTAGTTGGGTAAACAAAATGTGTACATTTGTGCTATGCTATAGAGCACACATCGTATATTCACACATACACAGAAATCGTAGATTCACACATCTACAGCAGGTGTACCATTTACATATCTACAGAAGTAGATTCACACATCTACAGAAGTAGTACATCCACACACACACAGCAGTCGTAGATTCACACATCTACAGCAGGTGTACCATTTACATATCTACAGAAGTAGATTCACACATCTACAGAAGTAGTACATCCACACACACACAGCAGTCGTAGATTCACACATCTACAGCAGGTGTACCATTTATATATCTACAGAAATAGATTCACACATCTACAGAAGTAGTACATCCACAGCAGTCGTAGATTCACACATCTACAGCAGGTGTACCATTTACATATCTACAGAAGTAGATTCACACATTTACAGAAGTAGTACATCCACACACACACAGCAGTCGTAGATTCACACATCTACAGCAGGTGTACCATTTATATATCTACAGAAATAGATTCACACATCTACAGAAGTAGTACATCCCACAGCAGTCGTAGATTCACACATCTACAGCAGGTGTACTATTTACATATCTACAGAAGTAGATTCACACATCTACAGAAGTAGTATATCCACACACACAGCAGTCGCACCATTTACCTGCTCTTGTAATTTGAAAACTTTGACTGCTGTGCCTTCAACTTGGAGAGTAAGATTTTGATGATCTTTACAAAGAGGATAAAATTCACCTGCAAAGACACTAATGTATGTTTGATGTTTTTTTTGTTACAATTGTATACACAGTGGCACATCTCTCCCCCCCCCACCCCCCGTTTAAACGTTTGCCATTTCAAATATTACCACAACAACAACAAAAGTAACTGCGGTCCAATGTCGCATATCGGACTCGCTGGGGACTGAGGTCCAGGCGGATATGTGAAAATAGTTGGGTATGTGAACGTTGACACGTGTCAACAGATAAAGCGCAAACTGCGTGAACAATGGGAACATGCTTCGCTCGAGAGGACTTTAGCAGTGAGCGAATGCACGCGAGATTAAGAGAACATCACTGAGTATGAAAAAGTCGGATCCGTGAATGTGTCCAGAAAATGGCAGTGGTTGGTGAGAGAGGGAATGTGACAGTCGGGAACATGCGACCGACTGCGCACGTTAGATTCCAAAGAACACAGGATGAGATGTTACTATCCTTTGTGCAAGCACTTCCAAGAGTTCATGAACAGTGAGCCTGGTGAAATTTGGGGAGCGCATCGTCAGTAGTGACCCTTTGGTTCCTAGGGTGTTTCGGCCTTTCATACTATACACCCTCCCCAAAGGCGGCCAGCGACAGGGTGATCAATCCTACGCTTGCGTCCCATTCCCAATTAGTCACAATTCGATGTAGAACGCACGTTGATGAAAGGGTAAAAAAACAATTATCATATTTTGCTACTGGCAAAGGCGGTTCCAATGGTGCACGTTGTATAATTTGGTGAATGAATGCAAACAACACGTAGTAGTTACCACAATGGAGAACAGGATCGGTCCTCGTATAATCCACCAAATGCCCATCCACGTGTTAATTCCCCAACACCTTTGAGATGAGAATGAGAAAAGCGTTGTAATGTGCGAATGCCGATTCAAAAGCCACAACCAGCCTTTTATACGGCAATTGTTCCGTATAAACACAATTACCATGCACGCATGTCTGATGCATGATGACCGTTATTCATTTCACGGATATTAATTGGCACAAATAAAACAAGACATCATTTACATTCTCTTTGGTTCTTTCGGTAAAGTCACGTAGATAGAAACTTAATAGATCACGACGTTTCGATCGCAACACAAGCGACCGTCTTCAGGTGAGAGAGAGAAAGCTACTGATAATTCCAAGCACATATCTCTCCACGCTTACATTCATCACTGTCAATCATCGCCGTCATCACCTTAAATCATACTCAGTCATCATATATGTGTTTCCATAACATGACAATTGCTTGAAGTAAAAATGCAGTTCTCATCCTGGATATAAGGTGATGACTTTGTATGTATGTACGTATGTTGAACTTCTTTCACACCATACGTGGGCCAACCGTGTTAATCCCGATGGACATCCACTCCTTTGGCCGCCACTCCGTTTTTAGTCTCGACCGCGAGCCATTCAAATCTCCTACCCAATCCAACTTCCTTGTTTTGTTTACAGTCAATGGGATGTGTGTATGGGGGGACAACGTGAGAAATGAAGACGCGAGAGGAAGACTAACGGTGGTAGAAATCACAGAGCAGGTGAGAGAGAGAGAGGGCTCTGGATGTGGTTCGGTCATGCGGAGAGACAGCAGGCAAATTATGTGCGTCAGAAGGTGGCGAGTGATGCAAGTGGAAGGAAAGAGATGCAGAGGAAGACAGAAGAGGAGGTGGGGGGGCGATGCGGTGCGATCGGCCCGCGGTGGCCCGAGGAGCAGAGAGAGAGATGGCACAGGACAGGGCAGCGTGGAGAAGTTTGGCAAGGACAGGGGAACACCCCCACGTGAGCGCGACAAGCGCGTGGAAGGAGGAGGAGGATATGTGTGTCGCTTGCATATGCCGTTTAATCCACGTATTATTTTTTTCTGTCTCTCAATATAATTCCAAGCACATATCTCTCCACGCTTATTCGCACACTTGTCTGCATTTGTTCCATTTTCTTTGTCCGTGTGCAAGTGTTGGATCCATGCGTCACAACAGGTACTATGCACCAGTTAAACATTTACTGGGGTTGAAACATCAGGCCTTTCCAGGGAGGCCAACACACCATTATTACAAATTTTCACTATTATGGCAAAACACAACCATTATAGCCAACTGGAAAGAGCCATGCTCCCCCGCAAATACTCGAGGAATGGGCCAATAAATTGTCAAAAATTGCCCCTCTGGAGCATCTAAGTGCCAAACTAAGGAGCAGGAAGGAAGCTTACCACTAACACGGAACCCCTTCACTCCCTACTCCAGCGGGCATTGATCTTAAGAGCATTCACGAGGGCATTTTGGCATTTTCACTTCCCTTTTTTTATCCTTTATATTAAGTTCGCTTGCTTGCTTGCGTGCTTGCGTGCTTGCTTGCTTGCTTGCTTACGACCGTGCAAATCTTTCGGTCGTTTTTTAACACACTTCCCGTGATCCAATCGAGCTGACATTTTCCACACAGACTCGTTGTGCGCGACAATTAATTTTCGTGAAATTTTTTTTCCAAAATGTTACACTGTTTAGGGAAAAATAAATAAATATTTAATTACCAATTGCTTAATACTGGCAGACAATCATCTGACCCATAGGTGGCAGCCATCTCAAGCCAGAGGACGAGAGGACTCTAGCCGCCACGCATATAAAGGATTTAGAGTGAAAAACTTTGTTTTTACGGGTTTATTTTCCTTTCTCCTACAGGACTATCAGAGCTTAGGCAGACACCAGGGGTTTGTAGAGATTATTGAAACAGATTTGAAGCTTTCGTGACTGCAAGGATTCGTATTCTTAGGTTTTTCGGTAAAGTCACGTAGATAAAAAAAATAAAATAAAAATTAATAAAAGTTAAATAAAAATAAAATTTAATTAAATCACGACGTTTCGGAGGCAACACAAGCTTCCGTCTTTAGGTGGAACCGTCACAGCACGACTGCTGTATCAAGTACAGCTATCAAGTACAGCTATCGTGCTGTGACGGTTCCACCTGAAGACGGAAGCTTGTGTTGCCTCCGAAACGTCGTGATTTTTATTTTATTTTCATTTAACTTTTATTAATTAAATTTTTTTATCTACGTGACTTTACCGAAAAAAACCTAAGAATATTATTGAACCAGTTTATTGAAACGTGCGGTTTAAGACAGGTTTCCACTGCACTGTAAATCCGTAATGTGTTTGTGCTGGTGTCAACACCTTTTCATATCCTCTGTGTTGTGTACCTGATATCGTTTCGTTCATATTAAAATACTTTTGGAGAGGAAACGAAACTGTTCGAATTCAGGCATCGTTGCTGCGTCGCCTTTCATTATTAAGTTCACTCGTCCGCCTTGTCAATTCATTCGAATTATCCCGGTCCGTGTCCCACCAACAAACGTTTCGGAAATTTGCCGTGACTTGCTACACACGTGTATCGTGAGCGGCACTCTGCAGCCTTCTTTGTAAAGTTCTTCTCGAGTCTGTTGTGGTTCATCCCCTCTCCCCCCCCCCCCCTTCTATTGAAATGTACAATGATTGTCATCACTAAATCTGAGGTTAACATTTTTTCCTCATCTATATTTAGGAGCTCTTCAAGTCAATTTGTATCATCCTTTTTTAAGTAGAAAAATTATTGAGGCTTTATTCAATGATGTCTTTCATTTATGCATAAGTATGTAGTAAATGGTTCACCTAATTGGCTTCAACAACTGGTTCTTTGATGGTGATGATGGTGATGCCTCCACCATCTGGTTCAGGAGTTTTCCCTTGTTTCACGTGTGACAGTTGGAGCTTCCACTTCATCTGAGGAGTGGACGTATCACTGCGATGAATGTTTTAATATTCATCCACAGAGATCTGCATAACATTCTTCCACTAATTTTAATATTCTCCCTCTCTATAATGTGTGACGGTGCATTCATTCTCCCTAAGGGCGACCATTTGTGAATGGCCAATCATCAACATTAGTTTTACAGCTTTTATTGCTCTCTGTCATCTTGAAACATCTTTGTATTATTCGCTTACCATTTTTCGCTCTAATCGTTTTACAGAGATCCATATATGCAAAATTATGTTCATCATCTCGGTCTCCTCTATACTCTCCACTACCTCAAAATGCCCTTTTGTAGTTTCAGATAATGTATTCTCTTGTTTGCTTTTCAACATTCTGCCACTTACATCAATGCTGAATCGTACCTCCTGTAGTTATGTGCATGCTCGCACCGACAGACGTTTGAAAATGTTGTGTTCGTGTATAAAAAGACAACATGCACAAAGCTTACCCTTGGTTTTCATAAATCAATTTTGAAACCATCCAAGGTATGATGAACATAATCGGTGTACCTGAAAATGAAAATAAAACAACGTCCAACCGTAGATCAGTGCATGTATACAAAAAAGTGCAGTGTAACGTGAACTAGTCTCAGATGTAATTCCTACAGCAAGTGCCAGATTTTAAAAACAGCTGAACAGGAACGAGCCTGAATAGAACTTGAAAGAGCAACCACCTTGGCTCAGGCTGGTGGGTCACGTGGTGGGCCCAGCATCAAGCTACCATGTCTGTGTTCCCCAACTTCATCAAACCTGCGGTGTTGTCAGATAACTTCCCCCGTGAGCCCTTCGCGCGGGGAGGCCCTGATCCAGCTCGTGGAATTTAAAAATGGACAGATGTGTGTGTGCGGACGCATTTTAAAACCGTCGAAGTCCGCTTGGCACCAGTGCGATTATTGTTTACCTCTGTTATAGGCATTCACTCACCCCATCCCAGCAGAACGTAAAATGCAATCAGTTTCTTTTCGGTGAACACACACATGGTCAGCAGGGTGTGTAAGTAGCTGCCTTCAACCAAAAGCCAAAAGTAGTTGGCGCCAATGCAATATTGCATGAAAACGTGAGTAGCTCTGCATCCTGTGTACCCCTGTGGCAAAAAAAACCATCAAACATGCAACAAACCATTGGCGACAGAAGACTTTGCTCACACGCATGCTATCAATTGCCAGTGAAAAGTTACAAGTGAAAATGAAGGCACGGCTCACTAGTTATGGACATGTGCTCCACATTCATGGGTTTCTTCTCAAAAGGCATAGCAATTCTTTGTTAGTAATCCACCAATGATTGTGTGTCGAAATATAAGTGGTATTTGTGGATCAAATCCAGAATTCATACTCCCCATTTAGCTATGAATTAACATCAGCATTGTTGACATTTACCCCTACTTTAATGTTTTTTTTTTACCAGCTGTGCAAATGTCACGCGAGACACAAACACCCCACACGATAAATGTGCCCCTCCACACACACACACAAAAAGAAAGCCTTATCGTGTACGTCATGAACACGTGTATCTACTTTGTGTCCGGCACCACTCACTTCGTATCCAAAATAGCCCAGCCAATCGGAGGCGTTCTGGAGTCGTTTTGTGTAATTGTGTGTGAGAGCAGCGTCCTTGAGCAGAACGGAAATGGCTCTGAGGATGAATGAAGCGAACAAGTTCATGTGGATGTAGTTTCTTGTGCAGTGTAGCCGCCTGGAAAACAGCGTTTGAAAACAGGTGAATCATCTGGGACAACTATTATTGCACTTGCCACGAGCGTGAATGCACAATTGCGTGTTTAATCCTGAACATTGTTGATTACCGTATACGTCCAATAAGCCAATGGGAAATTGCTGGGTGGACAGAGGCGGGGAGGGGGGTTAAGACTCTTGCTGCAGAGTATCAACGTGTACGTATGTATGTTGAACTTCTTTCGCACCGTACGTAGATGGAATTGAGCCTGGCGACATCCAGATTGCAGCTGTGGTGCACTGTAAGACGGCAGCATCCCGATACTCAGTACCTCAGTACCGCGTTGGCATTACAACTGAATGCATGTGTGTAACTTTACTTACTTATTTACTTGACATAACACGGTCATTTAACGGGTCAGAGCTGCAGGTTATTCAACACGGGGTATGTAGCGTCATAGCAGGGCACGCACATTCATACGTACACATATATGTTGTTATTATTATTACCTGAACATGATCAAAATTCCCATAGCCACCACGAGGGAGGCGAGGGAGACCGAGTATCCGGTGGTATAAACCAGACGTAAGGTATGAAGAAGATACGTCTCTTTTCCCTAGAAGGAAACAGCAGACGTGAATCATTGACATTTAAAATAGGCAATGCCTTTGAGACAAAACGGAGGGTATTGTGAAGGAAATGCAATTCTGTACATGTGTGTATGCATGACCTCAGTGGAGATATTGTTCTCATCATCCAAACATTCGCTGTGGTCTCTCCATGCCGCGGTCACGTTGTCTTGAGTTAACCAGGTGCCATCACGAGTGCAATATCTGTAAACGTATCCTCCTTCCACTAAAACAGAACACAATTACAATAATTTTTTTTTTAATACGATTAGTACGTTCTCATTGAGTCTTAAAGAATTTGTTACAGAAGGGCCTGCCAAGTTTTTTTTGGCAGGACTCCAGAGAATCCGGAGGAAACCCACGTTAGAACAGAGGGGGGACATACAGACAAAACTAACAGTAGCATTTCACAAAAACAAACTAATTATTTGTTTTGATGGGGAATTATGGGTTATGTATTCATTAAATATACCTGGCTTAATGATTGATTGTCAGTTAGGCCATGTAATGATCTGGCCAAATTTCTGTCCTGAGACCCTCCACCACCCAACCTACACTTTTGTTTGTACAGGCAAATAGTTACGTGGCATAACCCAAATATTTATTATGAATCACAATAATGGCTGCAAAAACCTATGTTTTTCGTCAAATAGACCGTATTTCGCCTCTCCACACAAAAATGAAATATGTATTAATGTTCATAGGCTTATTGGCTTTCTAGAACAATCTTATTTGCGGCATTTTTTTTAAACACGCAAACTAAACTGTGGATCAGTTTTGACCTTCAGTGGGGTCTCTTCAGCATTCGGGCTTCTTAGGACACATTCTGCTGAGCTGCTAGATGCTACTTGCAAGAGCACTGTTCACGAGACGGGACCGACTCAACGAACAAAAGCAATAATGATGCATTACTCGTATGGTATGCATTGTTGTGAAACATATTTTGCGCGATAAAATTTGTTTGGAAAGTTTGTAGCCCAATGGGACAAACAAAAACATTGCATTATTATGTACAGACGAGAACTTTTCTCTATTTCATTAATGAAAAAGCACAGACATCTAATGCTTTACGAGTGAACATTATGCAGCCTATTTCCCAATTACGTTGGCAATTATCAAACTTCGTTTTGGGTGAGACATGTGTTTTTTGGTGAATGCGAAACCTATGTTATATTTATTTTAAAACCATACAAACAAATTAAAAACACGCACTGTAGCTCAAGGACATTTCTATTTTTAAGATTAAGGGCATTTATCTCTGCAGCCCTCCGATGCCAATTTTTGGTTGCACCGCGTGCGTTGTTCGGCAGGATGCGTGACGTTTTGCTACAAGTGCTGGACAATTCTTCAGGAACCCGGCACACGGAGCGAAACGTCGGACACCAAGCCGAACAACACGTGGTACAAGCCGACAACACAGCGGAGAGCTACACTGCGCGGCCGCGAACACCCACACGGCGCCATGCGTTCACCTTTGTCTATCCAAGGCAGGTAGGATGGGCACGGTATCGCCACTTTTGTATCTGGCAAGCTGTCTGGCCAGCAAGCATAATGGTCAAATGTCCTGTTGCAATAAACGCCTGGAAAATATGAATCACAGTTATCGTAAGAAACGTGCTCAAGCAATAATCATTGAATTTCAAATTATTCATTAACAGACATCGATGCGTATGCAGTGGTTGTGTTCGTCATTAGGTTTCTCCCGATCCTCTTTAAATCCTCAACCGAGAAGTTTCCCGTGAAGGTATCGTCTTGTTCAATAATTTCGAACGAAACAGCACTTTGAGCTTGGTAGATAAAACTACGCAAACACACACTCAGCTATATGAAGATTTGATGAGTTTTTATCTCTCTTCAACTTCCACATCACTGCTGTGGCAGTTGGTGCAATGGCGCCAAGCATCTGTGTCTGGCTTTAACAAATAATTTGGCAGTGCTGCTGCTGCTGCTTTGTTGGCAATGGTGCACAAATAGCAACAACAACTCAACACATTTGTCAAAAGCACTGTGGCCTATAAATAGGAAAAATACGCAAACAGCCAAGTTTTCTGGGAATGGACAAAAGTTTGCCCGAAACGTTGCCTATTATATATTTATAATTGCAACGCCACACATGTTTTGTATATATATTGAATTTCTTTCGCACCGTACGTAACCAACCGTGCTAATGTCACGCATAGTACAGCCAACGTCTTATTACTCTTGAGGGATCGTTGCATGTCGATGTCGTTTACTCACTCACCTGAGAGTAACGGTTCGCTGTCATGTGACTGCTGACATTCCTTGGCATAGCTTGACCATCTTTGCAAGGTGTCTTGCAGCAGAGAGGCAGACGCCTGCCAATAGGAAACACTCGGAGTTATTTCAACTCTTGCCATAAACCCACCGCCGATTGAGCTCCCCGATGATGCGATTTCGGCGTGTGCCGCGTGTTGTTGTTTGCCGTTGCTGTTAGGCACGATGTACGATGTTTCGCTCCACGTGCTGGGACCTTTGTTCAGCAAATTAAGAATTTAGTGAAGTCATCCGCTGAAGAACAGATTCATTCATTGGACAGCGTGCCGGGCAAACGCACTGATCACAGCCACGAAAACCTGCACAGTGGTGTCGCCACTGGTGGATTAACACATCCTGTAAAATGAGAGCGCGTTTTCCAACACCTGATACTCTATGATTATTATCGAGAATCCAAAGATTGAATCTCCTTGCTATGCAACATCTGCACCAAATGTTATGGGCTGTCTAGGAAGAACACCACAGAGGTATGAGCCAATAGGTTTATTTAATGTCTCCTTTTGGAAAAGCTTAAATCAACTCTTTGCAACCATTGTATATGTTCATTGTTTGCATATTTGTTCAGTAGGAATGATGTACATTTTTTGTATTAGTAGAGGGTATATGAATACATTTTACACAGTAGATACATTCAACTTAAAGATGCATTGCACTTGTATTTTGGAATAAAGTAGAGTGTTGAAAATCAATGTGTTTCCAGTTAGGATGGAGTGTGCGTGACTAATGCCGAACTTTGATGGATTCATCTACACATCCCGTTCTTTCGTCAAATCACACCATTGGCATATTTGGTATTTGCACCCTTCACGTGCTGAAAGGCGTTTATAGTGTGCAGAGTGTCGTGGTAGGAGGGCTGCGTTGCCACAATGACTTGGATCCAATTAGGTAATACGAGAGGCACATTTGGACGGTGGTGCTGGAACACACGGCCTTCGCGCTTTCGATTAATGCCACGGGATTGGAGGGTTCACCACGACTCTGTTGTTCAATACGCTCGCAGTATTAAACCGGAGCGGCCACCAGCCTTGAGCCGCGCACCTCCGCAACAAGCAACAAGCGGAGGACTTACACTTTGGGGCGTACAAAGAGGACGAAGAAAAAGTCTTCGCCCATTGGCGCTTTGGGCAGCCGTACAACACAGCATCAGTGAAAACAACACCCGGGTTAAACAGCCCCGATGTTATTTCTCCAAATACCAGCGTGTGTTCTGCTTCAAGAAAATTGGCACGGAACGCAGGTTAAATAAAACGTGTCCTCGCAAAAATGTGCGAGCATCCACGCCGCCGTAATAATGGTCATTTTTCTCCATTACATCCCTATCAGATGTTATTTGCAATTAAAATGAAAAAAGTACAGGATTCCACGTGGTGTACAACTGCGGTCTGGGCTCCGTCAACAGAAGAGGAATAGCAAACACTGCACGAACTCTACATAATGGAGTTTTTTTTGGGTTAGATCGCGTATAAATATATAAATGTGTCGTTAAACCCGCCACCACCCGACCACAGCCAAATCAGTAAGGTTTGTCACGTAAACAAAACGTGACAATTCGCTACAAGTACAGCACACCGATGTGTTGGAGAGTAAACCCGTTTCACGGGCAATTGCAACTAGCCACATCATGCGACAGCCAGGGTTGTGGAGTACCCCTCCGTCTTTCGATCTCATTTATTCTCGCTCTCATGAAGTCCAATCGTCGTGGCTAGCAGACCTCGGCATTTCCATTGAGCTCCTGGACCCATCGCTACCGCCACCACCACCATCGCCGTGACGGAAGCACAGCCTCTCACCTTCAAGGAATAGCAGCAAATCACGCAAGCGACGGTCACCAACGCGGCCACGACCATTATCTTCCTGTGAACACGAATCGCAAACGTGAATGTATTTTCTCAATGGGCAAGTAAAGAAGCAGCAGTTTGTTGAACCAAAGCACAAAGAAAGGTGCGGGAAAACGTATTCGTGTAGTGGTGCACAAATAACAGACTCAATCGATGAACAATCCCTAGCAGAGCAATACAAACTTAGTAATATATGTTATATTAATAACATGTAAGCAATACAAACATAAGTGACGTATTGAGCAATTACACCTTTATTGTAAAGAAACGTTGCATATTGGATATTCCCTCCTCCTAGGGCAATGTTATTGAGGAATGTGTCAACACAATCTGGAGTATGTCACGTTGGGACAAGTCGAGTGGGTGAACTGGGAAGTCCAAACAGAAAGTGTGATCGCTCTACAGTAGTTCACCAGCTATTGACGTTCCCTCTCTATCTCTGCCTGATAATACAGCGACAATGTATGCATGTTGGATGTATGTTGAACTTCTTTCGCACCGTATGTAGCCAACAGTGCTAAATCGGAGGTGCGGGGGAATTATAACAAAAAAAAACAGTTCTAAAGAAACGAGTTTTCAGTCGAGATTTAAAAGTCCATAGCTCCCAGCGGTTCACATAATATCAGAAGGAAGAGCGTTCCAGACGGCTGCCGCGTTCGGGGCGCCGCCTGAAAGCGCGACGACTCGGACACACACCGAGAGAGACAGATGGACAGAGAGACAGACGGAGAGAGAGACAGATGGACAGGGAGACAGATGGACAGGGAGACAGACGGACAGAGAGACAGACGGAGAGAGAGACAGATGGACAGGGAGACAGATGGACAGGGAGACAGACGGACAGAGAGACAGACGGAGAGAGAGACAGATGGACAGAGAGACAGATGGACAGAGAGACAGATGGACAGGGAGACAGACGGACAGAGAGACAGACGGACAGAGAGACAGATGGACAGGGAGACAGACGGACAGAGAGACAGACGGACAGAGAGGCAGACGGACAGAGAGGCAGACGGACAGAGAGACAGATGGACAGGGAGACAGACGGACAGAGAGACAGACGGACAGAGAGACAGACGGACAGAGAGGCAGACGGACAGAGAGGCAGACGGACAGAGAGGCAGACGGACAGAGAGACAGACGGACAGAGAGACAGACGGGCAGGGAGACAGACGGACAGGGAGGCAGACGGACAGGGAGGCAGACGCCAGGTGTCGCCGCTCCGTTTACCAGCAGCAGCAGCAGCTCCTCTCGCGAGGAGCTTGACGACCGACTGAGCGCCTGCGAGCGAAGGTGACCGCGGGTTTTTGTTTGTTTGTTTGGAGGAGACGAGAAGTGCACGAGGGGGGCGAGAGGGGCTGGTGGAGACTTGCGGCAGAGAGAGGGGTTCGTGTGGAAGGTTTACGACCGGACGGATGCGAGTGGACAGATGGGAGAGACAGGTGATTCGCGGGGACAATGTGAATGTGAATTCGCTTCGGTGACGGGTTCCCCTATTGCAATGTCACCGCTATTGCGACACCGCGCGTCTTCAACTCAAACGGTACCCACCCGACCGACACGTGGAGGCTTGCGAACCGGATTACGGGCACCCTTTTGGTAACCTTCACCCCGATGGAGGCATCTTCATACTCAATATGAATTAGCACGGTTGGCTACGTACGATGCGAAATAAGTTCGAAATACATACAATGCTTAGCGTAAATAATTGGACGTCACTTGACGTAACTGAATCGCAATTTAGAACCTTTTTGTGTCAGTCCACTGCTGGACGAAGGCCCACCCCTTATCGATCGATGGGTTGCTCGACCATACTTCACCACGCCGGTTAGCGCGGGCTGGTGAAGTGGCAAGGGGGTGAGATGGGGGGCTAGGTGAGTGGGGGGGGGGTAAGGAAGAACGAGCTCGGGATATCACTCACCACTGATGTGAGCCGTGACCGGGTGGGTGGGTGGTGGTGGTGGTGGGGGGTGGTGGTAGTGGGTGGGTGGTGGTGGTTGTGGGGGGGTGGTGGTGGTTCACTGCGGTAGCTCCTGGACACCCAACGCCCTCGCACGACCGGCGAACGAAGCAGCAGCAGCGACAACAAAAAATCCCCAAGTGGTGACAGCGTGGAGTTACAAATGTCCTTACCCGGTGTCTTGCGATGTAGACGAAATAAACAGCGTCCGAAACTCGTTAGACAACGTTGAAACTTTGACGTCTTCAAATAAATACAAATTGCACGACTTAACTGCTCCCCCGCTCCTCACTCCCTCGTGACATTCTCCGCTCTTGTGCGCGTGTTGTGGCAGCAGCAGCTTCCTGCACTGCACCACTCTGCACTCTCAACTCTGCACCACTCTGCACTCTCAACTCTGCACCACTCTGCACTCTCAACTCTGCACCACTCTGCACTCTCAACTCTGCACCACTCTGCACTCTCAACTCTGCACCACTCTGCACTCTCAAATCTGCACCACTCTGCACTCTCAACTCTGCACCACTCTGCACTCTCAACTCTGCACCACTCTGCACTCTCAACTCTGCACCACTCTGCACTTTCAACTCTGCACCACTCTGCACTCTCAACTCTGCACCACTCTGCACTCTCAACTCTGCACACTCTGCACTCTCACTCTGCACACTCTGCACTCTCAACTCTGCACACTCTGCACTCTCAACTCTGCACCACTCTGCACTCTCAACTCTGCACCACTCTGCACTCTCAACTCTGCACCACTCTGCACTCTCAACTCTGCACCACTCTGCACTCTCAACTCTGCACCACTCTGCACTCTCAACTCTGCACCACTCTGCACTCTCAACTCTGCACCACTCTGCACTCTCAACTCTGCACCACTCTGCACCACTCTAGACTCTCAACTCTGCACCACTCTGCACTCTCAACTCTGCACCACTCTGCACTCTCAAATCGCCCTCTTCCTGCGGTGCCTTTGCTCAAATTATAATCGGAGGTACTTATCAGCACGAGCGCAGCAGCCGGCGACGATGATGGTGGTGGTGATGATGGTGGTTGGAAGGATGGAATGTTTGTTCACTCCTCTCGACTCCTCGTGTAAAGTGCTGGCTGGGTCGTGATACGGCTATAAGGGTACCCAGCGTTTCAATTCACCAGCCACCATCACCACCCAACCACCCATCCCAACACACACAAACACACACGACCTCACTCACCCATCCCACCCACCCACACAGCGGCGTGCAGGGGCATGCATTTACGCACGCGGTGGAGCAATCCGCATCTAGATAAAAAAATCGCGTCGTAAAACAGTAACCGTAAAAAAAACCTAATAAATTAAGACAAATCCACGAACTGATCTACCGATGGACGAGATTGAGGACTCCGCATAGCAGCGCCCCTCCGTGGGACACGCACGGCGAATGGCTCCAGCGGTGGCCACGTGAACCTTGCCGGTTCACCACCGCTCCGTGCGTCTCTACCAAATGCGACCCGATCAGGGCAATGGCCTGATGAGAAGAGGGTGGCGTGCGTGGGATAATGGATCATATCCGAAGGGGGCGCGGGGCGGGGTGGGGGTCACAGTGGAGATGTGACGAAGGCGCTTCCGCAAGGGAAAATGGAATGGGAAAACAAATAAACGGAGCAGTTCGGTGCGACAGTTTGTGAGCAGCTGTATGGGACACTCCACGAGAGACGGTGAAGATAGTGAAAGATTAAAAAACACATGTCATGGACATTGACCATATATATAACAGAGGTGGAATAGCAAAGCTACAAGAACTCTCTCTCTCTCTTCTCAAGCCCTCTCTCGGCTAGCACACCTCAACAATTGCATTTCGCCGCTGAACGCATCGCCACTCATTGAACAAGGATCAAAATCAACCTTCCATTGTGAGAATGACACGGGATAGAGGACAACAACAACAACAGCAGCAGCAGTGGAAACTCTGGCACCGAAGCTTGTCGGGTCGCAGACGAATGAAGACGGGCTTTCGAACGGCGGCGAGAATCTAATTAAAAGGGTGCGTGTTAGGAAAATATGCAAGAACATTTTAGTTTTGCCTGGGATCCAGTGACGCACGGCCAGGTTCGCGGGCGCGAGTTGATCACGCTACTTGGTTGGTGGTGGTCGTTGGTGGTGGTTGGTGGTGGGTGGTGGTGGTGGGTGGTGGTGGGTGGTGGTGGTGGTTGGTGGGTGGTGGGTGGTGGTGGTGGTTGGTGGTGGTGGTGGGTGGTGGTGGTGGTTGGTGGGTGGTTGTGGGTGGTGGTGGGTAGTGGTGGTGGTGGGTGGTGGTGGGTGGTTGTCGGTGGTGGTGGTGGGTGGTGGTGGGTGGTTGTGGGTGGTGGTGGTGGTGGTGGGTGGTGGTGGGTGGTGGTGGTGGTGGTGGGTGGTGGTGGGTGGTTGTCGGTGGTGGTGGTGGTGGTGGGTGGTGGTGGGTGGTTGTGGGTGGTGGTGGTGGTGGGTGGTGGTGGTGGGTGGTGGTGGGTGGTTGTGGGTGGTGGTGGTGGTGGTGGGTTGGTGGGTGGTGATGGTGGTGGTGGTGGTGGTGGGTGGTGGTGGGTGGTTGTGGGTGGTGGTGGTGGTGGGTGGTGGTGGTGGGTGGTTGTGGGTGCTGGGTGGTGGGTAGACGTGGTGGTTGTGGGTGGTGAGTAGAAGTGGTGGTGGTGGGTGGTGGTGGGTGGTTGTGGGTGGTGGGTGGTGGGTGGTGGGTGGTGGGTGGTGGTGGTTGGTGGTGGTGGTGGGTGGTGGTGGTGGTGGTGGTGGTGGTGGTGGTGGGTGGTGGTGGTGGTGGGTGGTGGGTGGTGGATGGTGGTGGTGGGTGGTGGGTGGTGGATGGTGGTGGTGGGTGGTTGTGGGTGGTGGTGGTGGGTGGTGGTGGTGGTGGGTGGTGGTTGTGGGTGGTGGTGGGTGGTGGGTGGTGGGTGGTGGATGGTGGTGGTGGGTGGTGGTGGTGGTGGTGGTGGGTGGTGGTGGTTGGTGGTGGGTGGTGGTGGTGGTTGTGGTGCTGAGCCAGTCGGCGGCGGAGTGGGGTGTGGGTACCAAGGGACAAAGGGATTTTTTTAAAGCGGTCGTACGGAATTATCCTGGGGCTAAACATTAACCTGGATTAAATAGAGGAAATCGTAATCTGCTAGCATTGAAGGAGACTTGGATGCGCACGGAATAGGTCTGGGAGTAATAACATTGGAAAATTGTACGTAACTCTCGGAATATGGCATCAAAACACAGGGGGTTGCACATTCCACAATGCTCCTTTCCACGCTCCCCCCCCCCACCAACGTGGCCGCAATGTTCTCCGAGCGATAACGATATTGAACGTAATTGTTTTCAATTGTGGTAATTGAACATGCCACGTTCCGATAATTGCAAAGCACGGCGCTCCCTCGTGTACGTGGTTAGTGGCATTGTAAACAGAATGCGTGGGAACGACGACGTTAAATAAAGAAGCCTACAGACAGCTGCTGGGACAACCGAGAAACATACTGAAGCTAACACGTGTCTCTCATATACATATATTTATTATTTTATTTTACACAGCTATTGGACACAGGCCCAAAGGCCCAAAATGCAAAGCGGTTAGTAGCAAACAGCACTGTCAAAGTTGTAAGAGATAAGAGTTGACATGTTTATATACCAAATGTAGTACGTTGCTTTTCATGATCAAATTTAGTTTTTCAAAAGCACTCCAATCTCGAATCTGCCTCTACTTTATAATTTATATTCCAGTCCACCTTTAACAGTTGTCGCAGGTACATATATTATACAATTTCCCTGTTGCGTAACTCCAAACAAAATCTCCGCTATGGCATGCCAGTATGCCTGAAAAACGAAGATGTATTCAGTGCCTACTACCAGCTCCGACATATCGGTTCAGAAACACATCCTTTAACAAAAAAAAAGTGCGCAAAGAAGCATAGAGAGATGCACGCTTGGAATAGCGCATGAAATTAGAAAACATAATCGGGTTAAAGACATCACTCAAACTCTATGGGAACCTCATTTGCCAGTAAAAATATGATAATTGGTTCTTTACCCTTCTATCTGGCAACAAAACTGACACCTTTTTACAAGGAGTCATGTTTGCATAGATCGCAATACCTGCAGTCATAATACAAACAAAAAAACATAACTCTTTTGTTTGTATTATGACTGCAGGTATTGCGGTCTATGCAAACATGACTCCTTGTAAAAAGGTGTCAGTTTTGTTGCCAGATATAAGGGTAAAGAACCAATTATCATCACTCAAACTGTTATGAAACCTAAGTGGACTCGGGCAGGACACGTGGCTATGAGGGCAGGTGGCTGATAATCAAAGACTTACAACGGAGTGGCAGCCAAGGGGATGGAACGCCTCTGAGAGGGTCCTCACAGAGGGAGATGGAGTTGAAGAATGCAGCTTGTGTGCCAGTGTGAGGCAGTTCGTCACTGGATCGCGGGAGATGATGGCCCAATGGGTGCAGTCCCTCCTGGGACGAAAATGGATGAAGAGAAGAAGCGGGTGGCGGTCGTCCCGTCCACCCTGATCCGCCAGCGGGTGGCAACACCGGTGGTTCCATGAGCGTTAGGCCCTGGGATCCTGCAGATGGAGGAACAGAGCCTCGATGAGGCACATCATCCGTAACCGTATGTCCGGCTCCATCGGACACATCAAACACCCGGCCATCAGATGGTGGAGATGACAAGCCCTCATAAGGTGGAAAATAGGGCTTCAGTCGTGACGGGTGCACATACCA